GCAAACAGTTCCAGCCTTCTCCCAAAACACTGCCGTCGAGGAACCGGCTCTTGTCGCAGATTATACTCTAACGGTCACCATAGGTTGTTCTGTCGCACAAATTCTACCACAACACATCGCTTTGTAACTACTATGCCCGGAAGTATTACGTAGCTTTTCCAACAATACGAGGAGATAGGAGATAACACAACAGCACCTAAAGCAGAAAGTCGCTTAACTTTAATCTGCCGGATACTGAAGTATCGAAATGTAATCTCCGGACAGAAGTTAGTGGCAATCTTAACCGGCGATGGTAGGTGCCTGGCTTACATCAATGATGTAATGATAAAGGTTTACGAGTTCATCATTAGTGAAATATGTTAGGATCGTTTCTGCAACACTGAACGAATGACAGCAATGGGCAGTGTTCAAACTGAAAGTACGGCGAAAGTATGTCTATCTGAATTTGCGTGTATACAAACTGACGCATTAACTTACTGTTATAAAGGATGTTCCAGCGTTGTTGTTTGGAGAAAATATAGCGGTTTTTAGTTTAAAAAGCCCAGAATATTACATATTTGGTGGTACCAGTTAGGATGAAATAGCAAATTTGACAATAGGTAGACAAGACCAAGACTGCTACTAATCTGACTAGACATCAGCCAACAGGGTGTCACACCCCACTGTTACTTGGTCAAGGCGAATTAATGGACTTAAAGTCAATATTGATATTTTGGTTGACGCCACACACAAGGATGTTTGTAAGCAATGTGTATCAGAATACGGCGTCAAAGTTGCAACAACTGTCGAACAGTGAGCTTCAGTTCATCGAAGGCAGAACACACCATAAGATGCAAATGAATGATAAAAAGCAGTCAGTCAGGGAGTTCTGAAAACGAGGCTGACCCAGATGTTGCTTGGAAAGATATACAATCACCTGTCGAAACAGCAGTGACATCTATTAGTGATTTAAACCACAGGTTTACACAGAACCAATGGATTTCTTCAAGGTCTATTGCACTGATAGATTCTGGCAAACTCATCCCATCAGGTTCTAAACACAATGAAGAGCAAAAGTCTAAGGAACGACCGTGAGCAGTGGTCTGCAACGAAAGCAAAAGAGATGGAAAAGGCGGCGGCTATAGGGAACACAAGATAACTCGACAGTCTAATAAAAGAAACTGGAATTAAAAAGTCAAGTGTAAGTCCGACTATTTCGGAAAAAAACGGCACTGTCATCTGCTCCCCGTCCAGACGTTTAGAACGACGGGCGGAACATTTTAGAAAACAGTTCAGCTGGTCCTCAGTTACTATACAACTACCCTCCATCCCCATACAGTGTGAATGGAACATTGAAGTAGGTCCCCCATCTCTAGCTGAAGTTCAAAAGGCTATAGTTGGTCTGAAACGAGGAAGGGCAGCAGGTCCAGATGGATTGGCCCCAGAGGTCTTTAAGTATGGTGGGCTAGTTTTAGCGATTGGGTTGACTAATATTTTAGCTAAAATCTGGGAGTTAGACGTTATCCCATCTAACTGGTCACAATCACTTATCGTCCCAATATATAAGTGAGGGTCAAAATCATCCTGTGACAACCATAGAGGGATTAGTTTGACTAATATAGTATCTAAAATACTAGCCTCAATAATTATCAGACGCCTAACTAAGACTCGTGAACTGCAGACACGAGAAAAACAGGCTGGCTTCAGACCTGGTCGTGGATGCATCAATTACGTACTCACCATACGTCAGGTTCTAGAACACAGGCATGCTTATTGGCATTCGACAATGGTGGTTTTTCTTGACTTAAAAGCAGCATTTGACTCTGTAGATTAAGAGATTCTGTGGCAATGTCTGTCATTGAAAGGCGTACCTCAGAAGTACATAAACTTTGTGAAAGCTCTTTACTCGAACACTACTAGTCGAGTTAGAGCTTATGGCGAACTGTCATCTGCTTTTGCAACCTCAAGTGGCGTCCGCCAAGGCTGTCCACTTTCTCCGTTTTTGTTCAACTTCATCATAGACGTCCTGATGGAAATAACGCTCTCATCGACTGAATTCTCCGGCATTGATCTCCTACCAGGAGGTCCACATATTGACTTAGAATACGCAGATGACATAGTCCTGTTTGGTGAAGATGCTGATGAAATGCAGAGTCTTTTGATAGCACTGAGCAACAATGCCAGAATGTTTGGGATGCGCTTCTCTCCATCCAAATGCAAGTTGTTGCTTCAGGACTGGTCTGCATCAACACCTGAACTAAGGATAGGGGGTGAAGTAGTCGAACGCGTCGACAATTTCACTTATCTTGGAAGTCTGATCAGCCCTAATGGGTTGGTGTCTGACGAAATCTCAGCACGGATTCGAAGAGCTCGTTTGGCCTTTGCCAAGTTACGTAACCTATGGTGCAGGCGAGATATCAGTCTATCAATAAAGGGGCGAGTATACTGCGCGGCAGTTCGTTCCGTCCTACTATACGGCTGCGAAACATGGCCTTTGAGAGTAGATACTTGTAAGTTACTAGAATTCGACCACAGGTGCCTTAGAAATATTACTCGCATCTTCTGCGATCACCGTGTAAGTAATAGTGAGGTTAGACGGAGAGTATTAGGGAAGGATGGTAAATCAGTTGATGAGGTTATGAATCTTCATCGACTAAGATGGTTGGGCCACGTGCTGCGTATGTCTGAACACCGATTACCACGACACACAATGCTGACTAGTGTTGGTAATAGTTGGAAGAAAGTTAGGGGTGGTCAAAACAAAACGTGGCATCAGCGCTTGAAATTACTAACTTCCAGTCTTAACCGTGTTGGTAGACTCAGACTGCCTGGTTGGGGTCCGCGTGACTATCGTGAGCAATGGTTGGAGACTCTTGGTGACATGGCTCAGAATCGATCACAATGGCGACGGTGCATACACTCTCTGTCTTCCCTTAAACTAAGTGATTAAAATCGCTTCGTCTTTCTTTCTACGAACTAATTCTTTCTTCCTATATTATATACTTATACACAATCTTACTTTTATATACTACTACTTCTATGAATTCGGTGTTCATCTTCTTGTGTGCTACTCGAACTGATGTATGTACGTACGAAATTCTACGTTGCAGTTGACTGACTCAGCAGCAACGTAGGACCAGGCACCTATATGCCTCGGTCCAAGTTGCCATACCGCATTAGCACACAGATAGAATTGTCGATTCAAACCCTATAGTGGTAGGTAGAGGTAGTAAAAGTATTAACTGTAATCGGAAAGATTAGGATTTGAAGATGTTATTCAAGGAGTATAATACAGTGAAATAAATTTGCAAAGACAAAAAAGAAGGGACATGAAGAATTCAGACGACTAGAGTTTGGAAGAACACAAAGAGTGGATGCACCTGCACCATTGCAAACGATTTTGAGCCATGTCATTCAAGGTGTCTAACCATCGGTTGCTATCATCTCGCAGACCCCAACCAGGTAGTCTACAGCTACCAACATGACTCACTCAGTCCATGTTTTGGTCTGGCCGCCCCTAGCTTTCTTCTAACCTTCTCCTTCACCATAAAACATCGCATGTCGAGGTAGTCGGTGGTTGGGCATACGTAAGTCATGTCCCAGCCATCTCAACTGATGAAGTTCTACTACTGCATCGATTGATTTTCCATCACCTAGTACGCGTTTCCTAAGAACAGCATTACTTACTCGGTGGTCCCAGGATATACGAGCAATGGTTCGAGGGCGTTTATGATTAAGGTCTATGTATATGCATTATGTTAATACTTTTTAGCTTCTCACAATAAATAATCACACCCGTCTACTGCTTTGCTTTAACATACTATCAGTGTGCATCAAAATCAAGAACAAAAAAACCATTAGTGTAACTTAAAAATGTCGAGACTGAAACAGACCAATTAAATTTCTAACTGTCGAAGACAGTAGATAAAATCTTTTCTTACTTGTCCTAAAACAAAACATCAAAAAGGTTAACCATTATCGATGATAGAAAATGTAAGAACCTAGCTAGAATTTAATGCTTTCAATAACAAACACATTAAAAGTCTTTGTGTACTAAAGACAATGACATTAATGAAATACTGAATCTGTACAAGTAAGATATAGTTTTTGTGTTGAAATCGTTAACTTAACAAAACACATAACCAAGCAAACAATACACTATCAAAACTGTACACAATATTAACTCGAAAAACTTAAACGTAAACAAACTTTCAAAACAACTCAAGGCAATGAGTAATAAGCTTTGTTCATTATAGGTTATTCAGCTTCTTACCTACTCATTTTTGTGAAAGTAAACGCTTTGAATATCATTCTTGTTATGCACATCATATAGGACAGTAATGTAAATGACTGTATAATAATAATAAACAGAGAGAGAGAGAGAGAAAAAAAAAGAATGTATAAACGTTAATCAAACTAGTTCGAATGAATAGGTATACACATAAGTATACAGAAAATAATGATAAGAGGAAATAATAATAATAAACAATTTTACAAAAATGTCTGGAAGAAAACAAAACAAAAAAGAAAGGAAAAGCAACAAACAAACAAACAAACATGAATCCACAAAAATAAGCAAATCAATGTGTGTTTAAAAGTAAAGTAAATTAAATAGACATATATATATATATAAATATAAATATGAATTTGTCATATGTACATACTTTATTTATTTATTATTATTATTCTTCAGCAGATTTTATAATGAAAAAATAATCATTTAGCAACTGTGAAAACCACTAAAAATATTTCATAGACTATGGAGGTTTTTTTTAAAAATAATAATAACAAATACCAAAAACGATAGAAAGTAGACAATCTTAGAAATGCAATTACTAGGGGTGGATGGGGAGGGTGGGATCAATGGGATAGATTTTTGTGTATAAAGTTCCCAAATGATAATAATAGTAATAATAATTATTAGAAAATAACCATACTTGCACACCAATTTCCAAGAGATGATGAAAGGAATGTGCAATTGATTTTGAAGGAGAAAAGATGTATATGAGCAACAGACACGTTTATAACTGATCATCTGATTTTAATCGTTTCACTGGTGTAGTAAAAGCTCTGTAAAAATAATTATATATAGACAAAAAAAAGATGTAGATTGTACAAAACTATTATGAACGAGACTCGATAATTCAAACGACGAATACAATCACATATATAAAATAATACCTAATTTTAGAATAAGACTTTATTATTAAACCGAGACCTTTATACATGAAAATACAATTCAACGGGGGTGTGGCTAATGATACTCTGAAATGTAGGTTAACGAAAGTAATCAGCAGGACATTCTACGCAGCGAATTTTGTGTTGACTTTCTCTTGTCGACCAGTGATGTATACCTGTTAGGTTTTGAAAGAGAGAGAGATCACGGGTTCTCGTAGTTTGCGAACGAGAACGAGATTCAGTGACCAACGACCAGTAAGCTATCTATTGACGCGTCCCAGCCCGCTATTTAGAGAGAGAAGACCAAGCTTGGAATGAAATATATTCTGTAACAACCCGAAACCAGCAAACCTTTTTTTACAAGACAATTTCAAAACGTATATATACAATTATATATACATCGATATTGTCATGGAGCTTTGAAACATTTAATCGATAGTTCGTCTATTGACTGCCATTGAAATATTTAAACATTTAATCGATAATTTCGTCAATCAACTATGTGCGTGGGCGGTAAGAAATGCCCACGTATACATGTGCATACAAGCTCCACAAGATAAAATTACAAACTATGAGTTTTTGGGGATCTACCGTCTCCAACAATACCCAAACGAAGGATAAGTTACCTGAGTTGGCCTCATTAATGTGCAATTACAAATTCAGCTGATCCTGTGGAGATAGCTATATCGGGTGTACTACCAAGCAACATAGCCAATGAATGAGTGAACATCTACCAACTTGGTTTATAAAGGGCCAGATAAAAACAGTACGCAGTTCTATCCTGGCACATCTTATTGATAGTGGTCATCCTATAGATAAATCGAAATCATTTCGAGTGATCTATCGTATACCACCATCATTTCCCAACGGAGTTCGTTCCCGCCTCCTACATATAGCTGAAGCCATAGGAATTCGTGTATATAACCCCAATTTATGTGTACAGAAGAAATTCGTAACACCCCCTATCCCTTCCATGGTCAGATATAACTTAACTAACGATTAATTATTATTATTATATCATTAACCTTATTTACACATCCATTATTTGTTTGTAATTATCCGCCTCTTTCCGTTTGTATTCACTATCTAATTATTTACTCACTTCATATTACGTAATAATTTTAATGTTTTGTGATGACTATTTCATGTCTATTTACGCATGTTTGACTTTTGTTATCGTATTTTATTATTCTTACATACTATCCGAACACCTATTTTCTTACTACTATCAATTTGTACTTTTATCGATTATGTGTGATGACTTATTCTATTTCATTGTGAATTATTGACTTCAATTACCTTGATTGGTTTAACATTATCGTAATAATACTGATGATGATCGAATTGAAAACGATTGTTCGCTTATATGTGTTGCTCTAATTTTCACAATGGGAATCTTTAATACATTAAGAATATAGTTCGAAAAGACAGAAGAGTATGAAAGGATACTAGGACCCAATATCTAAGAGTATGTGGGAAAGTGAATCCATTTGCGCCATTGAGTCATTTTGAGCGATATTACCTAATGTATCCAACTATTGGTTATGATAATCACGCTGACCCCAAGTCAGCAACTAGCGATATGATTCAAACCAACAGTCAATGACTACACTGATCCCATGTTTTGCTTTGGACACCACTAGCGTCCAGTCAAATAACAATTAGCTTCAAAGTAAACACTGGTTAGGCATATGTAGTACACGTACCAACCAGCTCAGTTGATTAAGATTCTCGACCTCGTCAACTGATTTGTGTTCTCTTATTGATAGCTACTTCCAAACATTGTTCAATCGATGATGTGCCTATGAATTAATAGTTACTGCTACTTTTGCGCCAAACTATAATAAGGTTAGTCGCTTTCCTGTTTAGATAAGTATCTAGTTTGTTAATACTAAATTTCAGCCAAATAAAATGTAGATATCAATGGACTTGCGCGTAACATTCCAAATCCTGAAAGGTTAATTGCAGATCATTTAAAAGTAATTCAAATTGTCGCTAATTTATAATGTTTTCCATGACTGTTAAAGCTTAGCTATATGTTTCATTGATAATATGGACCTGTTGGACATTTCTCATTTACTTATCCTATTAAGAGTCTTGCCGATTGCATCAAATGTAGCCTTGCATTCGACAAAGAGATTTGCAATGATACTTGGTAAGTAAACCCGTAATACAAAATCTACTCTAAGTGACCTCACCACCAATAGATCATTTACGTATTACTGCGCGAGTTCAACTAACCAATAGTTATAAGCTGTTATGTTCAACTTCAATAGGCTTACCCTTCTTGTGATGTTCCTAAACTCAAAGCACGCTTGGTAACCGGTTGTGAAGCATTTGTTGCTTGGAAATTGATAGATTGAGGATTTATCCCAGCAACAGAGGGAGGTGTATTAGATATATCTTGAAGCCAACGAACTTGTGTTGCCGGTCCATATCCTTTTTCATTACGAGCAGCAATCCGAAAGATCACAGCAGGTTTTGAACTAAGATCTAAATGAGCAGTAGCCAATGTTGCAGAAGTAACAGTTGCTGAAGGTGATTGACCACAATACACACGAACGAATGCCATACCAGAAGGTGTAGAACCGACCTGTAAAGAAATAATGAAAGAATTAGTAGGGAGGTAAGGGAATCACACTGTGAATATGATAGGAATACTAAGCTAACACTACAGATCCCGTTAAAAAACTAATACTCCATGTTATGCAAATAGTTACAGCTCTAAAAAGTTTTATGTATCTACAAAAGTCAGTACATATTTTGAAGATTTAAAGCACATGAAAAATGGAGAGAATTTACCTCATTACAATAAATTTGTTAATGTGAAATTCCTTAAGCATTCAATTTTTATAATAGTATCAAAAAGAAAATGGCGATGATAATTCTTATTGAGATGAAATGAAATCAGAATCAGTAAAAATTTGGACTTAGCTTATAGAGGTTTTTTAATTTTCCTAATTTTAATCTTATTTTGTTACATATTATTACTATTAGTAGTGTGGTGCGCGCTACTTATATTGACATAAGTAGTATATGACGCGAGTTTTAAATGTAATGTCTGGCAGCAGAAGATGGCGGAAGATCAAGAAAGGAAGAGCGGGAACACGATAGAATTTGTATGGAAACTCACGAACAATGAAAGGACAGACAATCGATTGATGTTTGCAACAGGAACAGTCCAGTTTGATATGATGGATTGGTATTGCAAATTAACGATTTACTGTATGGTTGTTAGATTTTAATAAGTAGTTCCGCAATTTGTTGTCAAATACATTCGATTGTCCCCCACCTGTGTTCTGTTCACTACAGTAGTAGTAGTAGTAGTATAAGCTTCACAGTATACGGATTTGTATCCTTTAAAAATTCACCAATCAAACAATCTTCATATGATAAACATGATAGAGTGATCGATCTTAATTTGATATCTTAACAACTATCATGAATATTCTACGGGTTGGATGTATGATAAAGCCTATGGAATATATTTTTTTATTTATTGCTCTACTTGTTGTAACATTTGACCTACTATGTATGAGTCTGATTAAATGCATATCTATCTGCACATCAATCATTATTTATCCTTTCTTTGCACAGACAATCAGTGAACACTTATAAATAGATATGGATGTTTTAACACACACACACAGAGTCTCATTTACCTGCGTGTTTGTGGACTTTACTAATTATTAACAAAATACTATTCCTACAACTGTTCTTCTGGCTTTTAAGTATTCTCAAGTAAATTTATTGTACCACTGGGAGAACTGGCTTATTTAAATACTCAGTTAACGGGATATCAACTATTCGAGTCAAATAGAGAGGAATTAACCTCTACAGATGCTATAGAATGAAGACTTAATGTGACTGGCAGGTTTAACAATGTTCCGAATTATATATATTCAACTTTGGTGATATATCGATTGGATTAAAGCATGTTCCGTACAGGATTATATTGGGGCACGTTTATTGGCTCTCTCCAAAACAATCAGCGCTACGAAGACTTGGAGAAAATTCTAGAATCTTCTTATGTAAAAATTACAAATATACTAACATTTTTCTTATTGTAATTTCTACTTCCATCTAACCTTGTTATTTAGAGTATGATTACACTCCTGTTCATCCCTGTTCTGATTTGGGAACTTGTCGAGTGAGGTAGAGTTTAAGAATACTAAGCAACAACAGTAGCTGAGCCGTAAAAGAGAAATCATAACACACAGACTTCTTCGAATTTTAGAATACTCCCCATCTGTGAAGATAGTTACAAAACTACATGAACTATTATCCTATATGAAATTCTTATTATATTGTGAAGTTTACGGAACGCACCAACAGACATACATTGATCATTCTAATTTCAATTTAGGAACCAAATCACTTGATGATTTTATAGGAAAAAAATAAGCAAAATATAGTGAGGTATTCTTTAATGAATTAATGAGCATAGATTTCATGAGCATTTATATTAAATAGATATTTTACGTTAGTCCTAACTGTAACTCTACATCAATATCATTGACTACGAGAAAGCATTTGACAGCGTGGACAGAACAACACTAGATGCTTCTTCGACACTACGGCGTGACATACGGAATTCCTATGATAGATTAAACTGCAGAATCGTGCATGGAGGACAGTTGACAGACTTGCTCGAAGTAAAAGCTGGTGTTAGGCAAGGTTGCTTACTCTCGCCCTTTCGCTTTCTCCTGGTGATCGGATGGATCATGAAGACGTCAACATCTGAGGGGAAGCATGTGTTACAGAGGACAGCTAGAATGCAGCTGGACAATCTAGACTTCGCAGACCATCTGGCTCTTCTATTGCACACGCAACAACGAATTCAGGAGATGACCAGGGTGGAAGCAGCCTCAGCAGCAATAGGTCTCAATATACAACAAAGGGAAAAGCAAGATTCTCTAATACAACACAACATGAACTAGTCAAATCACACATGACAGAGAAGCTTTTGAAGATGTGAAAACCTTTACATATCTGGCCAGCATCATTGTTGAACACGATGGATGGCGTGTATCGGCAAAGCAAGAGCAGTATCTCTATAACTGAAGAACATCTGTAACTCAAAACAACTGTCTACCAGCACCAAGGTCAGAATTTTCAATACAAATGTGAAAACAGTTCTACTGTATGGGGTGGAAACTTGGAGAACTGTAAAAGCGATTACTCAGAAGATACAAGTGTTTGTTAACATCTGTCTACGCAAAATACTTTGGATCCGTTGGCCAAACTATCAGCTACAACCTACTGTGGGAGAGAATAAAGAAGATCCCAGCGGAGGAAGAAATCAAGAAGAAGCGTTTGAATTTGATAGGAAACACATTGAGGAAAGCATCCAAGCGCATCACAAGGCAAGTCCTCACATGGAATCCTTAAGGCTAAATAAAGGAGGATAGGAAGACCAAAAAACACATTACGGCGAGAAATGGAGACAAACATAAGAAAAATGAACAATAATTGGATAGAACTAGAAAGGAAAGCCCAGGACAGAGTGAGTTAGAAAATGCTGGTCAGCGGCTTATGCTCCATCGGGAGTAACAGGCGTAAGTAAGTAATGTTACTGATGTAAAAACAAAAACAGCGACTTGCAGGTAAATTTGCACAAATTATTTAGTATGTTTTTCACCAACGAAATAACAACTGACCTTGCTCTCTGTAGAATCTTGTCCTGCAGTCTGAGACTTGACAGCTAAATAGACAGAATACTCTGTAATCTTGCCCGCCGTGTTCTGAGGCGCTTCCCAAGTTAAATGTGCACCACTGTCCGATTTAGTTATTTTTATAGCACTGGGAGCTCCTGGGTAACCTGGTAAACAGGTTTTGAATGCGCTTATCTCCGACCAGGGACCTCGACCACAAGCATTGAGGCCTGCAACACGGAATTTATAGGCTGTTCCAGGAGCGAGTTGGAATTTAGGACCCTGTGTAGTTAGTCCATTGGGTCCAATCCCATTGGGACCTTGTAATGCACTGATAGCCTGTTTTTTTTAATTTAAACAATAGAAAGTATTACAATAAAATATGGATTGATCTAAAAGGAATCATGAATTGTGTTATTAAAATGGTTTCTGAAACAGACAAATGCAGTCAAATACCATTTGTTAAAGGAACGGACAAGTTTCTATGAAAGAACGCTCGTTTTTTAGTTTATGTGAATTTGTTCAACAATCAAAAAGCAGGTGAAAGGTGTACTGATAGTACTATGTTCAATCGACAGTGATTAGTTAACATCTCTAATATCAATCAATACTAATTATGTAAAGTGCAAAGAGAACTGTTTTATCAATTTAGCAGACTAAAACTTATCTTTAAAGGTCAGTAAGAAAAACAAGGATTTTTTTACTTCTACGACGAACAGCAATCATTAACAGTTAATATACGGTTCCAAGTACAGAATATTTATTCAACTAATATCGAAAGTATTATTATTAATAAGAACATGATAATATGACTCGTTTAGCAAGTAAAGATTTACGTATTCAGCTTTAAGTCACACATTTTAGCGTGATGGCTTGTAAATAAAACCTGGCTATCTAAATCAAGACACGTGGGACAGGACTCGAAAGTGGAAATTACTAGCTCAATACAATGTGGTTTAAAAACTAGTAAGACATCGCTTCGCATAGTTATTATCACTAAAACAATGTCTGGTGGACATCATTGATCCGTTAGACCGTAGTTTATCAATATAATGAACAAATTATGATTCATGAAAAAAAATAATGGGTCTATACGCCACCATGTTGACAAAAACTCAGGTTTAAATACACAAGTGATGTGAGGAGGTAAATTTTTCCTTATTCTTTACTGTCATTCAGTCATCTAGATCGTTTAATTACTTATATTTTATCACTTTTCAAAAATAATTATTGTCAAAGTTGCAAGGTGATATTTTTCCAAAGTATAAATCATGACTATAAACGTACTTCCATATGTACACCAGCATCATTTGTACAGGCTGAATACATTGTTACAGTATAATTTGTCGACTTAATAACGCCAACGTCATGCCAAGAACTGTCACCTCGACTAATCAATGTACCAGGTGTTACAGTAGTCGAAGAACTTATTAAAGAACAATTGGCAGATGTTGTTGCGATTGAATGGGAATTTGCGACCAAACCTGTCACAGAACGAGAAAGTTGTCCTCCTCCTAAAGTGGAAGATAATGGTGACAGGCGAGAATAAGGGAGAGAAACAGCAACTAATCGACCAGAATTTGAATTACAAATAACATGTGAATCAGAATTGGAATAAATTGTAGAATGTGAGATGACTGAGTCATTTTCTGTCGAAAAAACAGATAAATACGACAAAAATGAATTTCTTGGAAAACATTGATATGACAAACTCAAAAGAAGACCAATTTTTATGGATGAAGGTCTTCTGTGATTTAATTAGACGAAAAATTTCGATTGTTAAAATCGATGAATACAATACAAATCAACAGAGAAGCGCAATAACATAATATGTAGATAATATGAACGCAAAATGAACATAAGATGGTATAGGCAACTGGAGGAAATTAGCTCATAGATTATTCATGCTTAATATTCGGGCACTGTAGGTCACCCATGCATGTGCTAGGTGAAGACGCTGATAAAATGCAGTCTTTTCGTAGCATTGAGCAACAATGCCAGAATGTTTCAAATGCGCTTCTCTCCCTCCAAATGCAAGTTGTTGCTTCACGACTGCTCGTGTCTGCTGTAAACACCGGGTAAGTAATAGTGAGGTTGAACAAAAGGTACTAGGGAATGATGGTAAATCAGTTGATGAGGTTGTGAATCTTCATCGACTGAGATAGTTGGGCCACGTGTTACGTATGCATGAACACCAATTGCCACGACGTGCAATGCTGACTAGTGTTATGGATGGTCAGAAGAAAGTTAGGGTCGGCTAATCAAAACGTGGCATCAGTTCACAAAATCACTAACTTCTGGTCTGAGCCATGTTGGTAGATGCAGACTACTTGGTTGAGTTCCGCGTGACCAATGGTTGGAGACTCTTGGTGACATGGCTCAGAGTCGATCACAATGGCGTAGGTGTATACACTCTCTGTCATCCCTTAAACTATGAGATTAAAAATGTTTTGTCTTTCTTTCTACGAACTAATTCTTTCTTCCTGTATTATATCCTCATACGCAATCGGCCAAGTAGAGAGCTACACACTGATTTATTCCGACTTATAACTGTCTCGAAATACGAACAGATCAAGAATTTTGCAGATGGTAAGTTCTTTATTAACACACTGGGAGCCTTCATCATTCAAATATATTATCTGAGCCATGTTGGTAGATGCAGATTACTTGGTTGGGGTCCGCGTGACCAGTAATGATTTGAGACTACGGGTGGCATGGTCCAGAATCGATCACAATGGCGTCAGTGTATACTCTATTTATCTTCCTTTAAACTATGATATTAAAATTGCCTTATATCTTTCTTTATACGAACTAATTCTTCCTTCCTGTACTATATCCTTATACACAATATTTCTTTTATACGTTACTACCACTGAAGTGACTATTATGAATTTGGTGTTCATTTTATTGTACTAATAAAGTGTGGCAATTTGGACGAATGTATATTTGTGACCGGTCCAACGTTGTAGCTGGCTGACTCTCTTTGCCCTGTATAATAGATTATATTAATTGTTTATTTTGTATACTAACAATGTTAATTTACGTTTAGCCCCCAAATGCCCTGGTACGGCCGAGAGTGGGGGGAGTCCGCTCCCCCTCTCGAAATGCTCTCATATGGCCACGCGTATACAGCCCCTGCCAGGGAAGTCCTACTCACTGCCTTCTCGCACCACGGGTGTTGTTCACGAAAATGAGAGGACGGAGAAAGCTAATGTCCGGCGCTTTTACAGAATCCCAGACCAATGGTGCACATGGGCTAGCTCCAGTATCCTGAGGAAACAAATGGTGTATGAACCAATTTTCGGTCACCGGCTACCATGGGACTGCATCTCCTTACGATGCTCCACTGCCTTGTGGGTTAGACATTTAGGTCAAAGGCTCGAGGCGTGGCCCCCTAAGAAAACCATCGGCTTCGATTTGGGCACCCGTGCAGTATTACATCCCTCACACATATCAAATGAGATCTGTGTGGCGCATACGTATTTGGTGCCTTCTTGTACCGATATTTTTGTGTTCAAATAAATAAATAATAAATAATTTACGTTTAAGAAACAGATAAGGTTTATTGAACCAAATTGCTTATTGTTCCGACTTTGGCTAAGCTAAGACTCTGTGCTCGACGACGACTGATCCACCAAATGAGGCGGAAGTCCGCATGGAACTCCGACTCTTAAAGCACTACCCTCATCCTTTACCCACCATGAGTAGTGAGCAGATAGAAGTCGTCGAGAACTCCGTGTATCTGGTTAGCTACATAAGTGCTGGTGGTGGCGTGAGTGATGAGATCGATTCACATTTAGTCAAAGCCAGAGCGGCTTATGCCAATCTGGGCCATATTTGGCGCCTTCGTGATGTTAGTCTGGCTGTAAAAGGTCGGATCTACAACGCGACGGTGAGAGCAGTTTTGCTCTATGCTTGTGAAACCTGGCCTCTCCGAGTTGAGGATGTTAGACGACTCTCTGTGTTCGATCATCGTTGTCTCCGAAGGATTGCTGGCATCCAGTGGCAACACCATGTCAGTAATGCAGAGGTTCGGCATCGTGTGTTCGGGCACAGAGACGATAACCCAGTTGGTATCACCATCTTGAAACATCGACTTCGGTGGCTTGGACATGTTCTACGAATGTCGTCCCAGAGAATTCCACGTCGTGCATTATTTGCCAACTCTGGGACTAGTTGGAAAAAGTGGAGAGGTGGTCAGTGTATGACATGGTGTCGTGGTATGAAAGAAAGCTGCACAGGACTGGCTCCTGTTGGCCCTTCACGACTCGCTGGTTGGGGTCCTAGAGATAGTGCAACACAGTGGGTAGAGATTCACAACCACATTAAAAATTTTGCTATCTTTACATATTACCATGTAGTTAATCTCGGAATGGCTTTTATGGTCCTAACATATACAAGTAATTTTCCGAAAACATCTATGATCTATTAAAGTGCGAATATTTTTTAATTCTACATTTCACGTTCATAAACTGGAAGCGAATCGATACATTCTGTACTCGTCCTGAAGTTGATAGATCGATATTTCGCCGGTGTTACAAGTGATAAGAGTTAAGAAATGCCAATCGAACTTTCTGAATTTGTGCTGAGAATTTGTCAGCCATTAACACCCACCCGCCAGGGTTAGTAAGACTTATAAAATAATCGAAGAGGTCGACACAGACATCTACTCTAATCCTTGACGTTAGTTTATGGGTTTACGCAGGCCAATTCTGAAGCAAAATTTCGTATCTAGAGGAAGAAAATACATCCCGAACGTGCTTGCACTGTAGCTCAAAGCAATCAAAAGACTGTATTTCGCCAGCGTCTTCAAAAAAACAGAATTATACCATTTGTATATTTTAGCTCAATAGGCGAAATCTCTGACAGATCGGTTTCTGATAAGTCAGACGATGAGAGTGTCATCTCTATAAGAATGTCTATGATGAAGTTACATAAAAATGGAGGAAGTGGTCAACTCTGATCAACACAACTTCGTTATGAATTCTTTTTGACTGTAGTGATTGGTCAGATAGGATTATGTCGAGCTCCTAAACTCTAGCTAATAACTCAATCTGTTGGGGATATTGAATCCTTAAATATCAGGTTTAAGAAGAAATCGATTTTCGATTCGCTTGTCGATTAAGAGTGAACTTTATTCATTGACTTTCAATCCATCTTCATTGTATTGAATAATTCACTAAGTGTCATCGTTCAGTGACAACTGATTAGTTTGGTAAAGTTCTGGAATTCTCAATCATTGAATAACCGATATACAATTGTTTCTGTATGAACTGAGACGGTCAGCAATTTTGAGTAACCAGATAGAATAATGATAGAATCCTAGGTGTTAACTATCAATGAAATTAACTAACACACTTCTCAGTATCCTTAAAGACCTCTGTTGTTAACATGTATAGATATAAATTCACCGAGCATAAATGTTCTGACACTAGAGCATAGAGAAAGTTCCACTTAGTTTTCAGGAGAAGTACCTTTATATCGATCCTACCAAAAGATGTTTTCGTCCCAACAATAAACAGTAGATAATAGCCAGAGAATAAAAACGAACAAGTATGTGTTGTGTTTATTAAGAGTTTATGGTCAACTCTATCCGAATCATTGTCAATGTGATACCACGAGTTGTTACTTCATGCATCGACGTCCTGTAAGTTCATATACTGTCTCAGTGAGTTTGTGAGTAGAGTACTGAGAAAGTTCACTAACACCTTAAGACTAAGATTTGAAATTCAACTTGTTTCTTGGATCGACAATTTCTTATTGCTCATAAGTCAACCTTTGCAAAACACATTTTATAATTCATAAGGAGTATTAGGGCTGATGGAAAGAAGTTGAATTATCTTCGTGACAATGGAAACCACTTTGTCCCTACATTGATTTGTCAAGTGTTAAAACTTAAATAACATGAATCGGACTGAAGTGAAAGAGTAGCAAATAAAATTGTAAAATGTAACAATATGGATTTAGCCAAAAAAAAAATCTTAGGATTTTAAGTAATACATTGAAAATTATGGACTCACCGTGATCATCACCACTTCCACTGCGGCGAGCAGCAACTAACGCTAATGTTTCCAAAGGATCAGTAAGAGAACTGCCATTTCCTTCCTTCCCATCTACATATAAAATTGGAATAAAAGTATTGATAAATTTTCAAACTGAAAGCTTGATTCGGTTTCCTAAGCTCTTGTAATAACTCCCAGGCTAAATCTACATGGCAACTTGAACACGAGAGAAAAGGTGCGAAATATAGGGAGAACACTTTACCATAAGGTTAGTTTATGTACAGAAAATCTAGGGTATTTATAGCATTTGGACGGCCTTTGGCTTCTGGAAAGTTCTGGGATATAGCTAAACATAGCAGCAGGATAGGTAATCATCCAATCAGAAATGTGACATTCCAGACGTTTCTAGCAAAACTTCTATTGGATGCTGATTGGATAAGATGTTTCGCAGAATTTTTAGGGCCGCTTTTGTTGTTTCGAGGCATTTTCCGGATCTCTTATATACCTTCCCCCTCTCAAGAAATAAGACTTCTTCGGGTCTACTTTCAACTTGATAACTAATTTTCTGTGGCGTTCCGACTTTCTTGGTATTCAGAGACGATGACAGGTTTACTGAGCAGCAGTTCGTTCCGTCCTACTTTATGGCAGTGAAACATGGCCGGTAAGAGTAGAGGATATTCGTAGGTTACTGGTATTCGATCGTAGATGTCTTCGAAGCATTGTTCGTATATCCTGTGACCGCCGAGTAAGCAATGCAGTTCTTAGGAAACGGGTAAGGATGGCAAATCAATTGATGAAGTAGTGAAACTTCATCAGTTCAGATGAATGGGACATGTGTTGCACATGCCAGACCACCGACTGCCACGACGTGCGATGTTTTATGGTGTAGGAATAGGTTGGAAGAAAGCTAAGGGCGGCCAGACCAAAACATGGCACAAATCCATGAAGTCACTGACAAGTGGACTGAGTGAGCCATGTTGGTAGATGTAGACTACCTGGTTGCAATCGGCGAGATGATAGCAACCGATGGTTAGAGACCTTGAATGAGATAGCTCAAAATCGTTTGCAATGGTGCATGTGCATCCACTCTTTGTGTTCTTCCAAATTCTAATCTTTTGAATTCTTCTAATACTCAGTGTACTTTTGTTTCCGTCTCAATTGCTGCCACCAAAGTATATTCTTCCTGTTTTGCTTATGAACCAATCAGTCTAGATAAAGCGTCAGCTTGTCCAAAATTAGTAATGGGCCGGTAATTGATCGTGAAGTCATAACCCAAGAGTTTATTTCCCCACCATTGCAGTCTATTTGTTGTGTATACCGGGACGCGTCCGACGACTTCACTCCCTATCCTTAGTTCATGTGTTGACGCAGATCAGTCCTGAAGCAACAACTTGCATTTGGATGGAGAGAAGCGCATCCCAAACATTCTGGCATTGTTGCTCAGTGCTATCAAAAGACTCTGCATTTCATCAGCATCTTCACCAAACAGGACTATGTCATCTGCGTATTCTAAGTCAATATGTGGACCTCCTGGTAGGAGATCAATGCCGGAGAATTCAGTCGATGAGAGCGTTATTTCCATCAGGACGTCTATGATGAGGTTGAACAAAAACGGAGAAAGTGGACAGCCTTGGCGGACGCCACTTGAGGTTGCAAAAGCAGATGACAGTTCGCCATAAGCTCTCACTCGACTAGTAGTGCTCGAGTAAAGAGCTTTCACAAAGTTTATGTACTTCTGAGGTACGCCTTTCAATGACAGACATTGCCACAGAATCTCTTAATCTACAGAGTCAAATGCTGCTTTTAAGTCAAGAAAAACCCCCGTTGTCGAATGCCAATAAGCATGTCTGTGTTCTAGAACCTGACGTATGGTGAGTATGTGTTTGATGCATCCACGACCAGGTCTGAAGCCAGCCTGTTTTTTTCGTGTCTGCAGTTCACGAGTCTTAGTTAGGCGTCTGATAATTATTGAGGCGAGTATTTTAGATACTATATTAGTCAAACTAATCCCTCTATGGTTGTCACAGGATGATTTTGACCCTCACTTATATATTGGGACGATAAGTGATTGTGACCAGTTAGATGGGATAACGTCTAACTCCCAGATTTTGGCTAAAATATCAGAGGACGAGTCCAATCATTTCTTATATATTGGGACGACCAGTAATTGCAACCGGTTAGATGGGATTACACACAGTTCTCAGATTTTGACTAAAACTACCCACTACTGCAAACGAAACTGAAGTTCATATTCAGTAGAAGCACGAACATATCTTGCTTATGAAAACAGAAAATAAATAAATACTGGAAATGGTATTAATAATATATCAATCCTAGAATAAAATCTATCACATTGTTGATTTGGTTATGAATACAATACAATAGTTTATCATTTACATAAAATTGGTAAATGAAACAGACTAAACACAAGTATTCAAGGAACAGACCACTAAACTAACCTTTAGCATGTACTGGATCTTCATAAGATCCTGAATCTCCTCTGAAATTTTTTTCATGATCAGTATTGGAAATATTTTCGGATAATACATTAGGCTTGATATCAATCAAATTTCTGACGGCTTGATCAGTTTCTTTTGAAACGCTTACTGAATTTTGGTCTGAATACGCTGATGTATTATCTTCACCAATGTCTGCAAGCAGTTCAGCAGCAGCTTCCACGGCTAATGACGTATGTAAATCGGAATTTGCATCCTTATTAAAGAATAGTAGGAAAAAACAAAAGTATTCACTTAACATTAAGTTAGGCTATAAATAATGACGAAGCATAGAAAAAATTCAAGTAAATTAACAGATCGCATCACATAGGACTAATAATTTAACCTCAAGTGATAATTCAGATAATTTTTAGATCGTCTTTCATATTCACTGAAATGAAGCAATACAGGAGAATATGGAGTGTAGAAAATATTCACTTTTCTGTGAAGTCTAACTGCAAACTTGCTGCTCAAGACATTAGTTTAGAACGCCTTTTCAATATTTCCAAAGATAGATGACATATCAGCGTTTTTTTGCATTAATTTCGCTGGTAAAATCTCGGTGAATAAACAAAAGTTTAGCTTAACTTTCATCGATATACATCGGTAGTGAAATATTCAACTGTGTTAGCAGGATAAAGATTGGATTAAAGCATGTTCCGTACAGGATTGTATTAAGGCACGTTTATTGGCTCTCTCTGTTCATCCGTGTTCTGATTCGGGAACTTGTCGAGTGAGGTAGTGTTTAAGAATACTAAGCAACAAGAGAGTAGCTGGGTCGTAATAAAAGAAAACTTAACTAACTGTTTATCACTAAACGAGACCTCGGTTAACTTAGTTTAATGCAACTCCGCATCCACACTACCCAGTTGGTTAAGTCTGAGTAAGGGAAAATAAACCCCAATGTGACAATCTCCTGTAATTCTAAGATAGAGATACAGTAATTAAGGGTGAAAATTCTCGGTAAGTTATTCGTATTTAACCATAGATACATTTGCAGCATGTGGTGAAACCACTGAATAAGTATTGTTTAAGTTATAAATCAAGTCTTAAACAAATAATTTAGTTGTTAATGTAAAGTTGTAGTGGATGAGTTATTTGATATGAACGTGAAATGACAATGAAATAAGATGCTGATGCTTGCAAAAGTGAGATTAAAACGAACTTAAAGTTGTTACAACAAGATGCAGCACCAGTTCATTGATACAAACATCTAAACAAACTAAGCGACATGAATTCAAAAGCGCGGTTCCCTAAAATAAGTCCTAATTTTCTTACATCTGTGGATAGACAAACTAATTATTCAAGAAAAACTTTCCAGTTCATTTATAAATGTGACCAAACTCGAAACACGTATACAGACCGATTTTAATAATATACATAGACTAAATGTTTTGGGTTAAAGCGCTAATCCTTGGTAATTAAAACGAAACAATCAAGAAAAGGTATTTACAATTCAATAATCACACACAAGTGTATGAATTAGTTTGGTGGTTACAGATTGTGCTCAGATGTATAAACCATGTAAGATCTGGTCGGTCTCAGGCCTGATGCCAAATATCTGACCACCTAGGTGGTTTGGAATAGATCAATCGGAAAACATCAAATCCCAGTACTATATTAGTATATTAGGTCGTTCAGTTGGACTGACGAAGTTATCTAGTAAGTAGCAGATGACCAAATAAACAATTGAAACGATGTATCCGTTTATTTTGCTATGAAGTTAAGCTTGTCCTCCACTAACATAATGCAGTCATGTTTTAAACCTTTAATATAAACAGTTAACTATCAACGATAGTTAAAAATTCATTTACATCAGTAATCAAGCAAGATATAGCTATAATCAAGAAATACTATTTTGACTTATATGTATCAACAACTGTAGTGGTACTCCTAGGTAAAAAGCAGGCTTACTGTTGTATATGCTGGCGAATGTTGACTGCCAGTTTGTAGAATATCCACATTTCCTTTCATATGTAACTTTTCTTTGACTAAATTAGACTCCAAAAGGATAGCTGATGAAGCATCGTTTTTAGCACTACCACCGTCCTCATCGACATCATCATCATCATCAATAGCACCATCCAATTGTGGGATAGTTTGGAGAATCGATGACGTAGTATTACTTGGATCATTCGCATTACCATGTGTTGAATCATATTGATCCCGTCGGACTAAGGTTACCTGTGTTTGATTTCCCTGTCGTATTATTTGGCTGGTAGCACCTCCAGAAGATAAGTACAAATTTGATGATGCAGGAATAGCAGTTGATGAGGATACCGAAACTGAAATAAAATAAAGTCCAAGATTTTAAGTCCCACGTTAACAATGCTTTGCATCACAAAACATTAGCTGGAACATATCAAAGTAGAAAGTGAGTGTTTCACCCTAGTCAGCAAATCCACTTGATAGCAAACACTCCATTCAAACTACGATAACGAGCTGAAAATCGTCAATTTGTGAACATAGTAATTTCTAAAGCTTTTGACCTAAACTTTATAACCAGAATTGAGACCTGAAATCAACTGATGATGAGTACACAACCAATCATGTACATAAGAATAAATTACTGAGACTAGATAATTCTATACACAATTATTCCGAATGTGCGCAGTAAAGGATCATGGGTACTCATAATGCCTATAATCAAACTAACATCATAGTGTGACAAAATGCAACACATCCTAGGGAGACAAGAAGTAAAATGTCCTTCTTTGTGAATGTATGAACCTAACACAGATTAGTTATATTCGTTTGCATTATAAAAAAAAAAAGAAATAAAAAACTACGAAAATCCACAACAGTCTTACTTGTTGGACTCATGATAACTATTTGCTGTCCAGCTGGTCTGTGTACAGAACCTGAAACTTGGACGGTTGTCTGGCCCGGACGGCATACACCTCCACCAGCAATTAAAATAGGCTTACCAGACGCAGACATTTGAAGCATTGTTGCTGGAATAGCTTTGATTACTTTCGGAACTATAATAACGAAAAGTAAACAAAGTAAAACTTGAAACTTTATCAACAAAAAAGAAACAAGTAAACAAAAACGAAAATGTATCTCAAAGGTGGTAAAATTAAAATAAGATTTAATAATTTTATGAAAATAAACAGAGTATTTAGACTACTGTAGAAACAAGTGAATTAAATTCCTTTTCATTAAATATATTCATAATGTGCAACAGAGACACTTCAATTTGGATAGCTTCTTTAAACTTTCAAAATAAACTAAACGAATAACTACTGTCTTACGAATTATGTAAGTTCACACGATAGGTCAGAAGTTGGACAGGAGTTTAGAAAAATCAAAGTTAAAACATATAAATATAAGTAAATCAAGTTTTAAAAAATTATTGATCACCTGAAACGCCAGTTCCAACTGATGCTTGTTGTACAGTGATAGTTTTGGAAGCAGTTGAAGATGAATTTGTGGTTGAAACTAGTTTAATAGGTTTGATTAAACCTGTTGACTTGTTTACAATGTGTACTACTTGATTTGGATTCGAATTAGCTACACCGGAGTTATTTGCGACAGAAACTGCAGAAACAACCTGCTTGCCACCAACAGTAATAAGCTACATAGAGAAAGATACGTTCATGTTAATAAGTTAGTGAAAAAAATAAGTGTGGATTTCAGACAGAATATTCTACTCAGGTATCATGTGGAATATAACATAAAATAAATTATCCTACATCCTTTCGACCAACAGAAAAATCAAGATAAACACAACGTAAAAAACAACACTAATCCATACCTAGTTCACCATACAAACTGAAATGGGTGAAATCGTGTTAAAATGCTAAATACAAAGTATTTAAAAACACCATTGATTTCCCTAAAAAGTGGTATGTAGGTTCTCGTGGATACATGTTTTGAGCTGAAATAACTCAGCCAAACTTGGGAAAAAACAGTACAAATGCGCGCCAACTATTGGGGATGCTCGACCTCCTGAAATTACTTGGTAAGCGACTTATTTTTGTGATTTTATGTTAGAAACTTGAGTCTCTCGTTTCTGCGCCAAAAGCGCCCATTTTCACCTTCAGATTGTATCTCCCCGTTGAAAAGACGCTAAATGTCATTACTTCGTTCCCTCTTTTAATATGCCGTTTCGTGACGTTCCCCAAAGACAGTTTTATGCTGTATATATACGCTTGAGTTGTGTACTTGTTCTTGTTTGAGACTCTAAGTGCCTGTGGATTATAACTTTCTCTCATTTGAACCGAGTCTTTTCCCTCAAGTTAGCCGGGCTGGGATGCATCGGGATGTTTAGCTCGTCTTGTCGCTGACCTTCCGTTCTATTCGCCGATTTTAGGTGACCTCGTAATTTCTTCAAACATGGCACGAAGACAGCAAAAACTGAAGTGATTTATTGATAAATAAATTTTACTTTTTCAACCTTCTGTGAATTCTCAATACTGTTGGATATATAACTGCTTACCTCATTATTTAGACAATTACATATTAACCAATGGGCATACAGAAATAACTTCAAATATTAATCTTTTGTGATAGGATCAATCAACTTAAGACTAAAAACTGCATTGGCAAGAACGTGTCCCTCAGCTAAACTGATTGTCTTGTTCGAAACAACATGTTTTTTGCACAATCAAAGATCGATAGTTATCCCTTTTATTTTACCACCAACTGTACATACATATTCACATGTATCAGCCAAAGCAGTTACACTAGAACAGGAAGGAGAGCACATATCCGATGTAATGAACATATTTCAAAAAGTCTAAGGTTAAGTGGATCAAAGTCATTCAGCAGTGCCATCTCTAGACATCTTGATACAGAACATCAAGTGGATATACTGAAGTCTTTCAAGATCATTAACAAACAATCAAACTCGTCATCTGAAATTTGCCGGTGCTATAGATACCAAATGCCTAAAACCAGATCTACCCCCAAATGCCCCGGTACGGCCGAGAGTGGGGATAGTCCGCTCTCCCTCTCGAAATGCAGTCAAATGGCCACGCGTATATAGCTTCTGCCAGGGAAGTCCTACTCACTACCTTCTCGCACCACGGGTGTTGTTCACGAAAATGAGAGGAAGAAAAGCGAATGTCCGGCACGTTAACCAGGTTGGTGGGTATGGAGGACCCACCTAGATGAGTCGGAAAACCCTGATCCCAAACCAATGGTGCACATGGGCTCCAGGATCCTGTGTTATAATTTTTACAAATAATAATTTGAAAAAAGGGCGCATGAACCAATTGTTGACCACCGGCTACCATGGGACTGCATCTCCTTACGATGCTCCACTGCCTTGTGGGTTAAACCTCTAAGTCAAAGGCTCTGAGAGTGGCCCCCTAAGAAAACCACCTGCTTCGGTCTGGGCACCCGGGTAGTACCATAGCCCTCACACAAATCTAATGAGATGACAATTACTTCGCGAAATACTATGCTCGCTTCAATTAGAAGCTAGACAATTCACATTTACTTGATAACACTCACAGTTGTCATTATTATTACTCTTTTTTTATGTACTACGTCACTTATCTACCTCTATTCTCACTTCACGTATCCCCATTCTTCAACTTATACAGAAGCTCGCCCATGGTGGAAACTCTTTTCCATCTAAACGACCTCGAGTACTAGGTAAGGATGGAAAATCAATTGATGAAGTAGTGAAACTTCATCAGTTCAGATGAATGGGACATGTGTTGCACATGCCAGACCACCGACTGCCACGACGTGCGATGTTTTATGGTGTAGGAATAGGTTGGAAGAAAGCTAAGGGCGGCCAGACCAAAACATGGCACAAATCCATGAAGTCACTGACAAGTGGACTGAGTGAGCCATGTTGGTAGATGTAGACTACCTGGTTGCGATCGGCGAGATGATAGCAACCGATGGTTAGAGACCTTGAATGAGATAGCTCAAAATCGTTTGCAATGGTGCATGTGCATCCACTCTTTGTGTTCTTCCAAATTCTAATCTTCTGAATTCGTCATGTCCTTTATTTTCTTTCCAAATCTATTCCACTGAATTACACTCCTTGAATAACATCTTCAAACCCTAATCTTTCCAATTGCTACTTATACTTTCAGTACCTCTACCACTACGGGATTCGAATCGATAACTGCATCTCTGTGCTAATGTGGTATAGCAACTTGAACTGATGTACGTACGTACGAAGTTATACATTGTTACTGATTGATTGACTGACTTATGTCACCTATGGCGATGTCGAGATATCCGTCTGTCAATTAAGGAACGAGTATACTGAGCAGCAGTTCGCTTTGTTCTTTTTTACGGCTGCGGAACGTGACTTTAGAAAGTCTTAATATCGAACTCTGCTGTATTCAAGACTAGTAAAGTACTACAAATTCGCTCTACATCTGTCGCTTCAAAAGGATTATTTTACGTGAGCTTATCCAGGGACCCTGCGGCATCTCCATCTGGTTTTGCTGGCGTTGGCGTCGCACTATGCGCTAGAGCTGAGGCAGCATTAATCGATTGGATCCCCACTAACAGTCGGCCATATGTTATATTAGAAAGTACCATCAAAGTGAGAAGAAATCGGCGTGAGAAACGATGTATTTTCGTCATCTCCGCCTATGCCCCGACAGATTTCAGCCCGGATGCGATCAAAATTGAGTCTTATCATCAGTTGACTGTTCTTCAGAAAGTGTGCCCGACACACATTGTACTACTGACCGGAGACTTGAATGCTCAAGTCGGGTGTCTAGGCACAAAAGAGAGTCGATTAGGTGGCCGATAGGGACTTGTTGGTCGTAGGACAGATAACGGGGAACGTCTACTGCAAATATGCACAGACCACAACCTGTTTCTGGCTAGCACTAACTTTAGGCAAGGTGATCGCCGATGTGCCACCGGGCGTCCTCCCTCTGCATCTCAACCATGGACATCAAATGCCCTGATACGGCCGAGAGTAGGGAGAGTCGGTTCTTCCTCTCGAAACGCTCTCACATGGCCACGCCTATATAACCTCTGCCAGGGAAGTCCTACTCACTGCTTTCTCGTGTTGGGGGTGTTGTCTACGAAAATGTGGGGACGGAGAAAGCTAATGTCCGGCGCTTTTACAGAATCCCAGACCAATGGTGCACATGGGCTAGCTCCAGTATCCTGAGGAAACAAATGGTGTATGAACCAATTTTCGGTCCCCGGCTACCATGGGACCGCATCTCCTTACGATGCTCCACTGCCTTGTGGGTTAGACCTTTAGGTCAAAGGCTCGAGGCGTGGCCCCCTAAGAGAACCATCGGCTTCGATTTGGGCACCCGTGCAGTATTACATCCCTCACACATATCAAATGAGATCTGTGTGGCGCATATGTATTCGGTGCCTCCTTGTACCAATAACTATGTGTTAAAATAAAATAAAAAATAATAAATAAACATCACAATCAGCTACCGCTGGCGTGGTTGTGTACAAAACTGCCACTCTTTTCAGAGTACCTATCTAGACTCTGATCATGGCCTGGTCTGCGCCAATCTTACCTTACTTTCAGTGGCCAACGAATTCATCGTCCTAAACGGATTGATGTCAGTAAATTGACTGCAGCTTCTGTTGCAACTAAATATCAAACCGAGCTAGGTTCTAGGTTAGTTACCATTCCACCGAAAAGTATAGATGAGCATTGGTTGCAATTGCGTGACGCCATGAAAATGGAGAATAAAGTCGCTTGCGGCTTCGCGAAACGTCCCGCTTATAAGCACTGGGTTTCTTCAGACTCCTTACAACTCATCGAGACCCGTCCGTCTACCCCCGATGACTGTGAGTTTGACCACAAACGAAGGATGGTACGTAATGAAATTGGACAAAGCTTGCGTAAGGACCGAAAAGCCTGCTGGTCGGAGTGTGCTAATGAGTTGGAAGCACCAGCTGCATCTGGTAACTGCCGGAAGCTCTTTCAACTCACCCAAGCCACTGGCAGCAAGAAGTCTGGTGTGAGCGAAACAATTTGTGAGGATGAGGGGATGCTGATCACTAACATCCATCGACGTCTTGGATGATGGGCAGAGTTCTTCGAAGGGAAGTCCGCAAGGAACTCCAACTCTTAAAGCACTACAAATCACCGGGCTCAGATAACTCACCTCTGACTCTTTTCAAAGATGGTGGTGACTTCCTGGTTAGGGAACTGACTACGTTATTTACAAAGGTTTGGGAGCTAGAGAGTGTTTCAACATCATGGAATGGGTTGATAGTTTTCCTTATCTTTAAAAAGGGTTCACGTCGTTTCCGTAAAAACTATGGGGGAAAAGTCTACTTCCGATTGCGTCCAAACTGTTGGCCTTTCTCTTACTTCGTAGGTTGTTCAAAACCCGAGAAAGATTGACTCACAAGGAGAAGGCTGGGTTTTGTTCTCGTCAAGGATGTATTGATCATATCTTCAACCTCCGCCAAATGTTAGAACATTGTCATACATATCAGAGGCCAACAATCGTAGTGTTTCTCGACTTCGGGTCTGCCTTCGATTCGTTGGATAGGACTGTTCTCCAGAATTGTCTATTGAAGAAGGGTGCGCCTGAGAAGTTTATTAACATCCTAAAGGCACTATACACAAACACCTTAGGCAGAGTGAGGGCATACAACCACCTCTCTCCATTGTTCCATTCAAGCAGTGGAGTTGGACAGGGTTACCCAATCTCACCATTCCTCTTCAACTTTGTCATCGATGACATTCTGGAAACAGCTCTGGCGGATGTAAGTAATGGTGGTGTGGATGTTGCCTGGAGAAAGACTCCTCGACCTTGAGTATGCGGATGATATTCTCTTACTGTGCGATAATGCCCAAGCCACGCAATCTGCACTTGATCAGTTGGCAATCAGTGTCCGTAGGCATGGTATGTGCTTTGCACCTTCGAAGTGCAAAGTACTTCTACAAGACTGCAGGATTCTAATCCTGTACTCTCTGGAAGATGAGCAGATAGAAGTCGTCGAGAACTCCGTGTATCTGGTTAGCTACATAAGTGCTGGTGGTGGCGTGAGTGATGAGATCGATTCATATTTAGTCAAAGCCAGAGCGGCTTATGCCAATCTGGGACATCTTTGGTGCCTTTGTGATGTTAGTCTGGCTGTAAAAGGTCGGATCTACAACGTGTCGGTGAGAGCAGTTTTGCTCTATGTGTGTGAAACCTGGCCTCTCCGAGTTGAGGATGTTAGACGACTCTCTGTGTTTGATCATCGTTGTCTCCGAAGGATTGGTGACATCCGGTGGCAACACCATGTTAGCAATGCAGAGGTTCAGCAGTAAATCTTACTTTGCCCTGGTAACATTACACTTTTTATAGCATCATTCATTATTTCACATCTCTCAAGTTTTGATCACGTCGTCATCAGTTCTCTTTAATTCATAATTGACTGATTTCAACCCGTCTTTATTACCACTAATCTGTTTTCACTTACTTCATTGCACAATCATCTAATGTTTTTTAACTATGATTTTTAGTCACTAGTTCGATGTTCTGGAACTTCCCCTATCTCACTCTATTTATCTGAGAAAAATTCTTATGACCTTATAAACCATATTACAATATTCGCTGCATCATGATACACATATTCATCTATAATCACCTTCGTATTTATAAGCATGTCAATATCCACAATTTTGATTCTAAGTTATTATAGGTTGTAAGCAGCTGATGAGAGCCTAACGAAATAGAATGAATTCCTCTTATTCTGCTCCATTCTTTAGTTTTGTTCTCTTTAAGATAATAAAGGGAACTGTGTAAGAATTTACCAGAATCCTCGGATTATTTATAATGACTCTCAAGACAAAATGTTAAAAAAATTCACCAACTCGGTGTTGGATCGTTTTACGCATTTAACTCAGAATACTAAAAAGGCAACTCACGTGTTGCTTCGGAGCGATCGGAGGACATGAACTTCGAATGATCGTCGGACCACATGGATTAACTGTACTGGAATGTTGTGCTACAGTTGCGATAGTTGCCGTCCGTCCTGTAACAGCACTGCCTGGTACAGGTGTGATCTTTAAACCTGTCGGTGTAACTACAGTTGGTCCTCTCTGTCCAGCCATAGTGACGCATGAGTTTGGTATTATTGAACCAACAGCGGCAGTAGTAGTAGGTAATCTGATGGGGGTTGGTATTGGAACCGAATTAGCAGTAGCTGGTGTGGTAATGAGGGCCTATGTAATGGAGGAAATAAAAAAACTAGTCAGTCAGTTAATCAAACAGCTATTAATTCTGCTTAAGTTGTTGCGAGCAGCAAGCGAATAGATTAAAAACCCTTTCCAGCGGCACTAACCTGTGAGATAGCACCAGCTCTTGAAAAGTTCAGAGAACCAGCAGATGCAGTTAATGGAGCTTTAACAATTCCACTTGTATCTACTGGTGAAGATGTCAGGGAATGTGTGGAAGTTGTGGAAGGAGAAACATCATACTTTTGAATTTGTAAAATATAAGCATCTGCAGTAGGCACCGAACCCCACGTTACTTCGAGGCTTTGTGTGCCAGCACGAACTAACTGAACTCTTGTTGGAGCGGCAGGACGGTCAGTTTCCAAAAACCACAAATCTTTGAAGCAAACCTAGAATGATAAAAATCAACCAGTTAGTATTATATTTTAGAGCACACATTATTACACGGTTGTACAACATTCAGGAACTCACCTGATTATTCCATGCTTTTCGATATCCATCACGACCAGACCAAATGTACAGACGACTGTGGACAGCTACAGCACAATGTCCAGCACGGGCTCGAGGTAGAAGACATTCGTCAGCAACTTCCATTGTCAATGGTTCCCAAACCATCGTGTCGAGATTAAGACTAGCCAAAGTATTCGTACACTTCCATTCTTTTTCTTGAGCTGTCATTTTAATTTCTTCCATGACCAAAGGAACCCATCCACCGAAGACAAACATGCTAGTAATGGTTAAATATCAAGTATCAAAGCAAATTAAAGAAATGGGAACACGGAAGAAAATAAAAAGCTATCGATATGTAAAAATACGGTCAGATTCTAAAGAAATTATTATGTGCAAAACACTATAACTAAAATTTTGTTAATGAATAGTAAGTAGCTGCAAAAAATGAGTAACGTCCCTTTCTAGGTTACTGCTGAGAAATGCCGAACATAAAACGCTGCACATTTGAAACAACATATAAATAACTGATGTTGTGGGTGCTTAAACAGATTCAATAGTTTTGGTCAGTATGGGCAAGTGATTTAAAACTGAAATATAACTAAGTACGTTCAAAATAATAACAAAGAATTTTCCCTTCGGGTTGGGAATATATTTCATTTACACATACCAAATGGATCACTGCCACAGCCTATATGTCAAAATACGATAAAGAAACAAATTGATTTTTCAAACCTCACGTGACAAACTCATTTTGGAGACCGGATACTGTATTGGTTCTCCTGCGCTGTCAAAATCATTTAATTTCACCCGTATTTATCACGTTGAAAGTGGAGCTCTTTAACCACTATACCTGGAAAAGTGAGTCAATCGGAAGTAGCCAGATGATAAGGCTACTAGGTGTCCATTAGAAATTACCTAAAGCACAAGTACATGTCACTGATCAAGAAATGGATTCATCTTTTGAGTTTATATATATATATATATATATATATATATATATATATATATATATATATATGTCTTCTCTATACTCGGCGTCCAATTCCTGCCGAACTGTTCGTTCAAATATTGACGAATACTCGTATATATTTTGTTTGTTAATTAGATAAAAACTCGCAGTTTATGGGAAAATCCTGAGTCTTAAAGCAAAGCTAAAATAAGTGCTAATTACCTTTCCTAATCTTCCTAACAATAAACAAATAATAACAGACTAAGAAGTGCCTTAAGACACATCAAATCGTTCACGATAGATAACAGAACGCTGGATAAAACCTACCGCAATAATAAAAAAGTTTCCGTAACACTTACCGGTTTCCGATTACAGTTGCACTATGAAGACTGCGTGGAGCCGGTAGATCTCCACTAACGATAGGTTTGATCCATGTCATAGTATCAATTTCTAATTGCCAAAGATCCCCAAGTCGATTACCGGACATGCCACCATATACCAAAAGACGCCATTTCTTTATCATTCCATCAAGGACCTGATAAGCTACTGCACTGTGAGATTCTCTAGGTGTAGGCGGCTGACCATATGTGTTTGGAATATCCCAACACATAGTACTTGAATTGGGTTTTAATTCCAGAGTGTACAGATCGTTTAAGTATCTAGTTATAAAAATATTTTACAAAGTAAAGAGTATAGACAACTTGAGATAAAACAAGAACATACTTTATTAGCTAAAACGAATATAAAGCCGACTAATAGATGCATGGTGATACAATGCGGTTGGATGATAAATCCCCATGAGAATTACTGACGAAATCCGACATGAAGGTCGCCTACAAATTATAGTTTCGCCGGAAAATGTCTTACGGACGAATATCTATTATTCTGGGAAACTACTGTAGACTGAATAACGAACCTTTTTTAACAAGATTTACCACGGAATTCGATAGAACGAAACGAATTTTTCACGTGTTAGGATATCAGATTCCTGTTGAGTTTATCATACCAGAAGTTTAAAATCATATATAACGCTTTTGGTGCTATTTAGGTTCGTGAAGTAATTTTCGTACGTATTTTTTGTTGGTATCTGTGATTAATATACACCGCGTTTCTTTTTTCCTGAGATGGATTTTCTAGCTGTCTGAACTTTTCTTGTATCATCCACATCGTGCCGATCATAATGTCCATTCAAAGTTATCGATGCCGTCAACCATTGGTGCATATTCTTTGTTGAAAATGGTATGCAATGTGACGGATGTAAGAGATGATTTCACAAATTATCACCCGCCGTGTATGAACATTGCTGTAAACCGACCTCACCGTGATTATTTAGGGAGTGTCCTGTTATTAAAACAATTGTTAGATGAAGCGGGGGTGTTGTTTACGTAATTCGGAGGGGGTTGGAAAACGACCCTGCTAAAAGGCATACATATATCCTAGAGTTAGCTGAACCTGCCATCAGAAATGTACTGTCGGAAGGCAGTACATATTAATAAAGTAATAAGGCTCAGTAAATGAACTGTAGGTGAGACATAACCAATAAGAACCTAGAAGTTAGAACTCGAAAGTTACGAGAAAAACTTACTACGCAGCAGTTTGCTCTGTTCTACTTTATCGATATGAAACATGATAAGGAGTAAAGAATATTCGTAGGTTACTAGTATTTGATAATAAATGTCCACAAAGCATTGTCCGTGCATTTCGCGACCACGGAGTTGGTAATGTCCGCGTTACGAATAGAGTACCAGATAAGGATGGAAAACCGATTGATAAGATAGTAAATCTTCACCAACTGAGGTGGTAGGGACGTGTGTTGCGTATGCCCGACCACCACCTACCTAGACCGGTGATCTTTTCCGGTGCAACAGCAAGCTAAAAACTGAGGCGGCAAACCAAAACATGACATCAGTACATAAAGTCACTGATAATTTGACTGAACCATGTTAATAGGTATAGATTACCTGGTTGTGGTCCATGTGATTATCGTAATCAATGGTCAAACTCTAAATGATATGGCTCAAAATCGTTTGAAATGACGCAGGTGCATCAATTCTTTGTCTTCCCCCAAATCCCGAGATTCTAAATTCCTCATAACCTTTTTCGTTTTATTCACTAATTTCTATATTCCTTCTGAGCCGTATCATCGATGCCTAATCTTTCCTATTACCACTGACACCACCTTTACCATGGTGGGACCTGGTTCAATACCTCATCTCTGCTAACGGAGAATGACAACTCGGACTGATGTACATAAGTACAGGTTCTACGTTGACTGAGAAGCTGATCTTCAACTTCTGATTAACCCCAGATTTAGCAAGATACCCGGCCACTCGGAATGCTACTCAATATGGCCCTTCCTCGCACTCAACCAACTAGGGACTGGAAGGATGATTTAGTTAGCCCGACATTAAAGTATGGAGAGATCATATCTAACTACTGACCTATCAGTCGAACCAGTATAGTAGTTAGGTTACATGAGAAACAAATAGGGTTGTTATTAAATCACACTGTATCATACAATTCGATAACTCCTGAGCAACACAAATTTCTAAGCATTCGTTAATAACTATTTGCTAAAGGGAATCAGACAGCAACCTAAGATAACGATTTGTCAATTGATATGATGTTCATAGATTTTACCAAGCTTTAGAATAACAGGTACTGTACAACAATGGATAAGAAAATACTTTTGTGAGGGTAGATGAAAAACGATCTGGAAAGAAGCTGGTCAAAAGAGGTGTACTCCGAAGAACCACCTTGTGTCGATTTCTCTTTTATACGCCAATGAATTATCGAAACTGCTTACGTCGTTGACACAGTTGTTTACAGGTGTTGATAACTAGAGAGAAGTAGTGAAGCTGAGTACCTTGATCTTGATTAGTGACAAGATACACGGGATATCCCTTCAACTTGAGTTTAACTTAGAAATATTCCGGTGGTCTAGTACATAATGAATAAGTAATTTTCCCTTAAGATTAGATCAGTCTAAACATGTTACTGGACACGAATTTGTACAACCAAATACTCAACGACACATGACCAATTAAGCAAAAAAAATCGGAGTGACTACCTTGGTATATTGTTTTTAGGGTCATCACTGTCATTCGTTATTCCACCAAATAAAAATGCTCGCTGACCAACAAGAGTGAAACTATGCCCTACCAAAATATTCAGAATAAGAGAGGTCATACCGATCCTTGGACATGGACAGGGGCCATTTCTAGCAGGCTTAGGCTTTAGACGTTTCCACTCCCAACGAGAAGCTTGTAGTTCGTATAAGTCACCTGAATATTTGCCGTATTCAAGCATGCCACCAAACATGAGCACACGAGTGTTCTCTGCCAGCATTCCGAAGGCTGCACATCCTGGCGGAATATCTCCATGTACAGCGGGAAGAAACCATTGGCAGGTTGCTAAAGCAAATGGGCGGAAAATAACACTTACTCGTGTTGAAAACGTGAAGTTCATCCACTATTCCCTCATTCCCACCACCGAAAACCACGATCAAGTCCTTGATAGCCACGGCTTTGTGTCCGTGTCTTGATCTAGGGACATTCCCAGTGGCCGCTGAAACTTTTCTCCACCTAACAATAGGACCTACACCAGCCATCTTGGAAAGCGTACCACCCGCGGGATCATGAAAAGACGTTTCAATAATCATTTGTATGAAAAAAATTAGCATTCAGACTCCAGAAATTATAATTCAAATCACTCTGTTATTCTTTATTTAACTCACCAAAGAATGAAGTTTAATGTAAATCAAAAAACAGTAGGAAGCTGGTCAACATCACAGCAATTTTTATTGAAGGATGTTGTAATGACCCTTCAAAACAATTTTGTCATAGACGATCACATATTCCTTGTAAAAAAGTTACCTTTGATTGACTGGCTTAAATCATATCAGAATAAATCGACCGATTGCTTACGCGCACTGTTCAAAAAGGATAGTGGTGTTTTTCCCCTGAGTATATTTTATGGTATTGATTGTTAAGTTACACATCAAGACTGTTGTTTTTGTTATAAATAAATTTATTCTAGTTAAAGTAGTCCAAAAATGTGCCTCTTTTTTCTAGATAAGTTTATCATCTGTACTTTACGAGTACAGAAACAAAAAAATCTATGGGCACTGGTACTTATTCTTCATTGTTGAGTATATCCTTGAGTATTTTTGTATCCGTAAGTGTCAAGATCTTTTTGTAACTACTGAGGTCGGATTTTTTGTTGTTTTTATGCGCATTTGTATGCAAACCTTTTTTGTTTATGTTCATTGTCTACCACTTATCAAGCTTTAAATGATCCTTTATCCAGAGATCGGTTTTCACCGTGAGATCACAAAACAAATTTATGGTGCAAGTAAGACATCGTCGTGGCAGACTTGCGTGCTATTTCCCTGTCGATGATGGGATGCAATGTGACAACTGCAATAAGTTGTATCACGATATGTGCATCGGACTCACACCGACTGCATATAAAATGTGCTGCAAGTAATTATCACGTTGGCTGTGCGAAGCATGTTGCTCTACAAAGTCTGTGGTGATTCTAGAAGCAATTGAAGCAGAGTCACCGATAAAGTCATTCGATCACAAACTGTTAGAAACCTCAATTGCACAAGCTTTATTCCAACACATTGGAGATTCCACCACATGTGACTTAAGAAGCTCCTCGTCTCTCTTGAACCTAGTTTCCACACACGGTGATGACGTCGGTCAAATGACTTTCCTGCCACCTCTAGATAGAAGCGATCATGTAGTCATTTTATTAAGATTTATGGCTGAGATGGACTGTCAAATATGCTAACTTACAAATACTTCACTTCTCCGTGTTTCATATACCTAGGTACACATGTTGATTCATCGTTGATCTACCGTTTCTACGATAAGTACATACATTTTTGGAGCGAATATTTTGATGTATTTGTTGATGAGATATAAGACTTCATTCAGTTTTTATGGATCGCCCAATTCATGAGTTAAAGGCCTGACGCTTTGACGAATTACGGAATAAGTTTTGGTCAGTTGTTGTTACATTACTTTTGTTTTGTGGAGGAAAGTTTAGTTCCTGATGAAAAGGTCGGATTAACCTTATATGAACCATCAATGATTTCAGTAATTTCGCAGGTCCACCGTTTTTGGTAAATGATTAAAGTAGTATCCTTTTCGTTTCAGGTGCATTTTTTCAATTTTTGTCCAATATTGATTGAATAGGCAACCCTAGAAGTTTGGATATATTTTATTCCATTTGCTGGGTAGCTGTAATTTAGTTGTGATTGGTCATGCTCGTCACATCGGTTAGCATCGAGAGAAAAAACAAAAATTAATAGGACCTCCACTTAATGATAATAAAACACTTGATTACTGAAAACGATGTCTTTACTCAGTTATAATTGAAATTTTCTGACAGCACAGTTGTCCCAGTTACAGTTATTTAAATTCGTGCTTTTTTGTCTGCCGAGTAACTTCAGTATTCCCAGTTTTGTCAGTCTACTATAACTACAAAATAATGTAATAGTTGTTCTTGACAGCCCCTCACTTCCTGATGTCACTCGTATGGACCAAGACCAATGACAACAGTAGATTGGAAAAATCAAATGAGCATAAAACAGATATATGAGCCACAAAGGTCTTTATGGATAAAACTGTAAAATTTGAAAACTAATTACCCTCAACATACTGTTTACTTTAAACCTTCAGCGTTGACGAGGCCACAGCTAAGTGGTACATCTATTCCCAATAAACACTCAATTTATGACATTACATCTCGGTCCCCTCACTTCTATATGAAATCACCGGTAAACGTAGTCGTTATCCTTTTCTCGAAACTTTTTGATCAAAATCACAGCTTTTTCTCATTTCTTCATATTCCACTAATCGTCCTTCGATTATTGTTCACCTAGTCTGGTTCTACATTTCCCTTGCTCTATAAAAGGTTCTGCTTTTCCTATGGAATCATTCTCGATCGCTCATTGCTCCCATGTGCTATTGTCCGTGACAAAAAGCATTTTGGTGACTCGCGTGGTAAGTTTTCGAACAATTCTAGCTGTGCGTACTCAGGCTTCTACACCCATAGAACAATTTACTTCAGACACGACATGTATGTATTATGATTTTCACATGTATGATGCGAAGAGCGGGTAAAACTTTGAGGGCCTTATTTTACTGCATCCATAATCAACCTTTATGCTGCATAATCAAGTCCCCCCTTTGGGAATGTCGGCACTGTCAACCTACACGCTTAATGACTCCCACCTGGCTTACCTTGTTGCTATGGAATGTCATCATGCTTCATAATAACAAGTAAAGAACTAGCAAAGCCTTGTCCATAAAAAAGTACATTTGCGGTAATGATAAAAGAAGTACATGGTATGGTAATCACTGCATGAACCGAATTAAGCCGTCTTATTCTTAGTCCCGGTTCAATCTTTCTGAACCTAACACTTTCACTAACACTTCTTTATCCATTCATACCATATTGTTTTCTTCAACCTTTTAGAATATTCTTGCTTAAAAAGTGCCTCGATGAAAGAAAATTAGACCAAGTATTCATACCTTCACTATTTCAATCACAAACGACTCGATTCCAATATGCATGAACATTCTGCTTTGATGGAGCTTTGTTCTCTGAGCTGGATGGTTTGGTCGTGGAGCTCTCGTCATTCTTCTAAACGACATCATCAGCACAAACTTTAGATGGAAGTCAAGTGTTCTAATTTCTCCATATGCGTTTCACAGCTTGTTCTGTGCACCTCGATGTTGATTGGTTCTTATTGACCTTGAATTTGTCATTGTTTACTTCTTTGTTTTGGTTGTCTCCCATTGGTTTGATTTTTGTTCCTACGTTTGTGCATAATTTTCCTGATTGGTTGACAAATTGGATCTATTTCAGAGGACAAAACTCCATCAAAATCATCCGCTTGAGCTACAAATCTCCATTGTCTGCTTTTTTCTTACCCTCTTTTTCAGCCCTCTCAAGATATGCTATCGATAACGCATATGGAACGGGTGACTTTGTCCCGCGTCACCATCAATGTTTTAGAGGGATATAAGATCGCGGATTAGAGAAGCTCACAAATTTACGTGGATTTACTCCCGACTATCAGTTACACGTTGCAGCGCAACCTCCATAAAGCGCGCTTACCATCATATTGACAATACGAATCTTTCCAATTTTATTTGCACTCATATGCGAGGAGTGTTATATCCCATAATTTTATGGTCAACGTACCTTATAAAATATTAAACTAACTTGGTAGCCCACCACAGTGAAGACGGTATCTTCCGTTAAAATTTGATCTTGCCTGTAAGCTGGTATGCCTCATGTAACAGACAGTTGTTTGATTATATTTTATTATTAATTTCTAGTAACCATTGTTCTAAAGTAGGAGTGATTATTTGGCTACAATTCCGTGTCATTCATCAACCATAAAAAATCACTGGTATATCTCAATCATTAAGCTATATAAATTCATAATGGTCACTGGAAATCATGAGTAGAGCCAGTGAAATGTGACTGGGCTCTAGTCAAATTATTTGGCAGACGGGTCACTAATATTCGAACAGTTTATCGATCATTGTCAAGACCAATGACGATCAATTAATCGCACGCCGTGGGTTGGCCCATGTGGTGGTGTTTGTGTGAAGGTGGATTCCTCTACGTTTGACCCCAATAAACAGTATCACGTCAGCTGAGTATTTACACAGGTTGAGCCTTCTATTAGTATCATGACGTTTCTCGAGAATATGCAGAAGCCGGACACCAGTTATACAGATAGTTTATTTTAATGACTGGTAAAAATCCTCAAGCGGGTAGATTGCAAGTACATAAGGAAACCATTGAGAAAGTATGTGCTAAAAATTCATATATTTTTATGTGCTAATCAACTGTGGATAAATTACTGATTGTCTATGTGTTACAACCACTGGGAGAATAGATAATGGTTGATATTCACGCGCTCAATCAGACTCAAACATAATTTCACATAGTGGATTAAATGTCTAAGTTACAGTGAGCGGACACATAATAATATAGTTGAATGGACTCGCTAGAGTCGCACTCTGATTCGTGTACTTGCTCCTGCTAACATTTTTGTAATAACTTCGTCAGGTTTACGGTAGTCAAAGTAGCAGTAGTAACTTGATACCACTAAAGGGTAATCCACTTGGATACTAACCGTGGGGTGTAACTTCGACGTTAGCTGGTTGGTCACGCCGTCCCCCATTACTGACCTTCTCTTAGTGTTACATTTTGAAAGTCTATTTTTCCAGTTATTTCAAGTTCAGCTTTGAGGATTGTGGTTGGAATCCACTATATATCCAATGAATCCATTGTATCCCGTGCTTCCTCTAAGATTTGGAGGTCTTCATAATCCAGTCAACCACTAGAAGAAAGAAAAAGGGGAAAGTAGGCAGCCTTGTCTGACTCCGGTCCTCACTCGGAATGCGTCTGTCAGCTGTCCTCCGCACATGACTTTTTACTGTGACCCGATGTACGAATTCTGGATAATGTTGACGATCTCCTCAGGTACACCATAGTGTCGAAGAAGGTCTCATAATGTTCTCCTATCCACAATGTCGAATGCTTTCTCGTATTCAATGAAGTTGATGCATGCCGACA